AGAGTTGTTTCAATTTTTATTGTAGCTTTGATTCTGGAATTTTTGTTATGAAGTGTATGGAATTGTGGTCACCAAGGGTTGTTCTACCAAATGAATTTTCTTCAGATGATATTGACAATATTCGGATGCTGTAGAATAAAATCAGTTATTCTTCCATCCAACGAATAAAATGCTGCAGACTGAAGTTGAAGAAGTTGTGCTCAATTGGTTTAATCATTCTCAAACACAGTCAAATACTTGGTGCTAAGGACCAAAGAAGAGTTTGGACAAAGAAAACAAGCCATTGCAACAATCAAAAATGAAGTAATAACTTCATCATCAGAGAGAGTTTCCTTTCGGATGAACTTATCACCAAAGAATCTCACAGATGGAAGAGCGCTCTTGCCAAACTTTGAAAGAATAAAAGACTTTCCAGCATCACAATCAGTTGGGAACTCCATACCACCAATAGGCAGACCCAAAATATGATGAACACATTCTTTATTAATTGCAATGACTTTATCTTTCAAAACAATTTGAGAAGACTTCACATCAACATGATTTGCAATCCAAGAAGAAAATTTGTTTGGGACATAAGCATTGTCAAACATCAGCAAAGAATTAAAACCATAGTCACCAATAATACGCTTCTGATCAGGAGATAAAGAAGATAGAACTGTTGAGAAATATTTTGTTGAGAATCTGCTATATGAGGGCTCAGTCTTCGAATGAACTTTAGATTTCTTATCCTAAAAAACAAGTGTAGAAGTGTGTTAAAAACTTATTTACTAAATTAGAATATTTAAAAGCTAAAAGAGAAAGAAATAATAATTACAATTACATATACCAGAACAGTACATTAGCATGAATAAAAACAAAAAAAAATCATAGGGAGGTAGGGAGTGAGGGGGTAACCATATAAAGCCTAAGAGGCAACCATATACACTCATGAACAGGAACATATAAAATTTGGTCCCGGCTGTATAGCCTAACATTTAAAATCATAATATATCTGAAACCTTACTAGTAGGAAACTAATCCAAGCAAACTAACACAAAATCACACATCAAAACATATATACTTGAGATAGCACCCAATCTTAATAGCACCATCCATGCTGCCATACATATGCAAAATCAAACACTAGAAGTAGAAATTACAGTGATTTGAAATTAAAATTACAATTGTAAATTCAATGCATATAGCATGTAAGTGTACTGTAATTTTAGTAGAAATTATCTGTAAAATTTTGGAAACCTGAACTAAGCTATAAGTGCAGAAACCATCACTACTGACTATTATTTTGCAACCTTACAAACCTGCACAGCCCCGAAAAAAAGTTTAAGCTCATATCATATTAAAAGCTGCTGCGTGTAGAACAAAAAAAAACACTTGAGAAAACTAATCCAAGCAAACTAACACAAATCACACATCAAAACAGATATACTTGAGAAAAAATTAGACACAATGACACACAAAAAAAACATATCCATAACACGTGTTATGGTGGCTATGTTTGCATAATACTAGATTGAATTAGTTACATGGGAAACATGAATATGACGTTGCATGCATGAAAGCTACCGAGGATACTTAGGTGCAGGATATGTGAAAGAAAACAAAGAAGGTATTAGTGCCAAACAACGAGAGAAGAAAAAACAAAAAACTCAACAACGTTGGCTGCACTGAACTGTGTTGAGAGAATAGATACGAATTTGTATAGTCACAACTACAACCTGAAAAATACTCACATCTTCAACATAACTAACAGTAGCCTATAATAGTATGGTAGCAAGGTTCAGAGTACCGCATTGTACACATGGACCAAACAGAACAAATATAAAATTTTATTTTGCAAAAAAAAAACAGAAAATTTCAATCTGAAAATAACTATCAACTTCATTAGTACTACATTTCCTTTGACCGAATTAATTCTCCGTTTCATTGATAAGTTAACACAAGATTATAAGCAATAAGAAACCCAATAAAATAGAACAAATAAAATGCCATGCATAATAAAATATGCTAATAAAAAAAAGATACATACAATGGGATTGTGAAAATTGACAGAAGAAGTGTCAACCAAATTCATTTTCACTTCTTGAACAATCTACAAATATGAAATTGAGCAACCCATTAAACAATATAAAATTAAATTAACACAACTCAACAAAAAAATATTCACATACCATTTTCCTGAGCACAACAGAGAGTACACCATCAATTTCACCATGTTCAGGACCTTCATCAACCTAAAAAAAAAGAAAAATAATGTAATACCAAATTAAAGGTAAACTTAAACAGCATAATACAATAATAAAAATTTAAAATATAACTTACATCATTACCAACTTCATAATCAACATGAAAATCTTCACCTCCATCAGAATCAACTTCAATGGGATTTTTACCCAACCTTGATGTTTGGACACGAGGCATCTGAAAGAACAATAAATAAACATCAGCTTGGACATGAGTTAAAATGAACAAACAATACAAACTTCACTTTACAACAAAAATCATACATAAAAAACACAATCATGTAGAAACTTCACTTTAGCACAAGTACAACATCCAGATCCATTTACATTGACATAAAAAATATAATCACTGTGAAGCTTTACATCATGTATTTGCTGGCTACCAAATTCAGTAATTCAGTAAAAAAATTCACTAATACAAACATAACAAAAAGCCATGTCATGATTCTGAAAAATTGCTTCACGCCTAGAATTTGCCACTAAATCACACATCAACAAGCACAAAAACAGAAACTGGATTTGCTAAGCAAAAAGCACCCCTAAAATCAAAAGCCTCCCCTAAAACCCCCGAATCCGCGGGCTAAACAACCATTCCCCAACTCAAAAGCAACGCTCTGCAGCAACAAAAACAACAAAATCTTAGATCCATTCCGTGAACGCTTCCCACAGCCTAGGAAGAACAAATCTCCAAACCTGGAAGCGCAACTTGGCGAAGCAGCAGCAGCATCACGATTTCACCGACCAAAAAACATTGGATGCCACACAAAAACGATGAGACAAACTAAACAAAACTACGGCAACCAACGTCTCCGGCGAGCTCTCCATCATATTACATCTATTCAAAAACAACTAAAGCCGAGATTGAACCCTAACACAATTTGAATCGGACCTACACTGAATCAAATCGAACAAAAACAACTAAAACCGAGATTGAACCCGAACACAATTTGAATTGGACCTAGACTGAATCAAATCGAACAAAAAAAAAATCTAGACACTAAATCTCGCTAGCGACCAACCTCTCCGGTGAGCAAATCGGACCTACACTGAATCAAATCGAACAAAAAAACAACTAAAACTGAGATTGAACCCGAACACAAATTGAATCGGACCTGGACTGAGTCAAATCGAACAAAAAAAAAATCTAAACACTAAATCTCGCCAGCGACCAACCTCTCCGGTCAGCACGCACACCGACAAGACAGTCCTCTCCGGCGAGCACTTACACCGACGAGACAAACCTCTCCAGCAGGCACTCACTCCGACGAGATCTCTCTCTCGCCTCGCGGAGAAAACGAGAAGAGAAGAGAAGAAAAGGGGAAAGCGAGAGAGAGAAATGCGAGGAGAGAGCGGGATCAGCGAGGGGAAATAAAAAACGGCTACGGACAAGCGCGGAAATCGAAATTTGCACAGTGCAAAGTAATCGGGCCAGGGAATCCAACGCAAGGCCCTATCCACGTATGACCACGTCCACCCCATTCCTGGCACAAATCTCGGCGCAGATCCAACGGCAACAAAAACGGGAAATAGCAACAAAAAAAATCACCCGACAGATTCCTAGCAAAATCGTTCCTTCACGTAACAACGGAGGACAAACTAGGGCCCGTTTAGTTTCCTAAAATTTTTTCCCAAAAACATCACATCGAATCTTTGGACACATACATGAAGCATTAAATATAGATAAAAAGAAAAATTAATTGCACAGTTATGGGGGAAATCGCATATGTGCTACAGTAACCCACATGTGCTACAGTAACCCACATGTGCTAATGACGGGTTAATTAGGCTCAAAAGATTCGTCTCGCAGTTTCTAGGCGAGTTCTGAAATTAGTTTTTTCATTCGTGTCCAAAAACCCCTTCCGACATCCGGTCAAACGTCCGATGTGACACCTAAAAGTTTTCTTTTCCCCAAAAACACACCCAGATAGACTGGATCCATCTTCATTTTTACTACTACTAAAGATCTACTCAAGGAACCAAATTTATCATGTCCAAATTAAGAAGGCAGCTGCCTTCTCCTCCAAGGCTCCAATTATATATATACTACTCTAGGGTACGTATATTGATTGTGTACGTTTTGCCCTTAATCCTTGTCAGCAGTAGCAGAGCTAAGCTGCTGGACATGCCAAGGCAACTAAGGCTGGGCTCGCATGAGTGGGATGGGAGCTTATTCCCTCGCCACGGAAAACGGAGCGATCCATTAGCGCATGATTAATTAAGTATTAGCAATTTTTTAAAAAAATAGATTAATTTGATTTTTTAAGCAACTTTTGTATAAAAATTTTTTGTAAAAAAACACATCATTTAGTAGTTTGAAAAGTGTGCGCGTGGAAAACGAGGGAGAGAGGTTGTAAACACAGCCTAATTCTCTTTGCCGTAGGCACAGATATATACAGTACAGAGACAGAAAGAAAGAGGATCAGTTTCTCTTTGGGCTTAGCTTGTTTTGAGACACTAGAGTTATGGGCCGCGTAATCCCTTGTCGGTCCAATAAGAATAGATTGGGTGGGCCGTCAAACGTACGTATGTAAGCCCATGGTTGATATATATAGAAAAAAGTATACTTTGACTCACTCAACTATGGACCGAGTATGAAACATGCCCTCCAACCGTAAAACTGGGTATATCACATCCCTCAATTTCTTAAACCGGTGCAAATCAACTACCAGGCAGTATTGTGGGTGGTTTCGTCCGACGTGGCGGATTGACCCCGGTCAAAAAGCCGAGTCAGCATGGGTTTCAGTTAAGAACGCGCGAACTCCTCCCCCTCTCTTTGTCGCACCTACAGTCCGAGTAAAACCCTAGAAGTGCTGGGGAGACGAGAAAGGCGAGAAGAAGGCGACACTGGGGGCGGCGAGGGAGGGTGGCGCTCTAGGGCGTCGCAGCGGTCGGTTTGGTCGGCTGAATCTGGATCTGTGCAGGTACGCCTCCTCCTCCTCCCTTCCCCCCTTCCACCTCCCCCTTCCCCCTTCTCCCCTTCACATTTGTGTGGTTTATCTATTTGGGTGTTGTTTTATATAGTAGTGGATCTGTACTTTTATCTTGGATTTGATGTGGATTTGGCATTGTTTAGGTAGGAAACTAGTAGATCAGGTTAGAGTTTGGCAATATTTTATTTCGTAGTGCCTCCAAAAGGTTGTTGGGATGTGGATTTAGGTTTGATCCGTGCATTGACAAGGGTTTTTTTTTTGTCTGTTTTGCATGTAGGAAACCCTAGTGGTGCAGCCATGAACGTACTTGACACTCTTGCAGTGCAGTTTTATTTCAAGGGAAATTTTGTTGTGCAAGGTAAAGAGAAGAGTTATTGTGGTGGGAGGGAGGCAATGTCTTACATAGACCGAGATAAAGTGTCCCTTCCTGAGTTAGTAGGACATCTACGAGACCACTACGAAGTAATGGATGGCACGCTTCTTCACTGGTTGGTGCCTGGGGGAGAGCTAGATGATGGGCTTCGGGCATTAGTAGACGACAAGGTGTGCAATTTCATGTCGGACTGCATTTGTGAGGGAGGTGTAGCTGAGATATATGCAGAGGAGCCAATTCTGGTTGATGTTTCAGATTGTGAACCAGATTTGCAAAGCATACATGAGCAGGAAGAACATGGTGCTATCCAAGGATTGGAAGACAATGTTGAGTCTGAGAAGAGGCTGGTTGTTTACAAACAGCAAGAAGAGATGTTTAATTTTGAGGCAGAAGATGATAGTGATACAGACAGTGATTACATTCCTGGGGATGAGTCTGAATCAGATGAAGGGGAAGAGGCTGAGAGCATCAAAAAGCAGTACAAACAACTGAAGAAGAAGATAAAGGCAGGGCAAGCAAACATTCTGGATGATGTTGCTTTTGAGGGGTATAAAACCAATCCAGTCATGCAGGATGGTGCTGAAGAAGGTGGTAATGAAGAAGGTGACTCTGATGAGTCCATAGAGGAGATAGGCAGTGATGGTGAGGTTACTACTAGAGCAAGCAATTATGCAAGGTTCAAGGAAGATTCAACTGTTCCACATTTTGAACTTGGGATGAAGTTTAACTCCAAAGCTCAGTTCAGGGCAGCCATTACAAGATATGCCTTGAGTGAAAGGAAGGTGATCAACTTCATCAAAAGTGATCCAAAAAGAGTGAGGGCAAAATATGACTGGTCCAGCTGCCCTTGGGTATGTTTGTTGTCAAAGACTTCAAGGTCTGACAGTTGGCAGATAGCTACTCTGGACAACTGTCATGCATGCCCCCCCAGAAGAGATAATAAGCTTGTGACCTCAAGGAGGATAGCTGAGAAGTATGGCAAGTTTATATTTGCCAACCCTTCATGGAACTTGGCACACATGAAGGCTACAGTGCAAGAGGAGATGTTTGCTGATGCTTCAATTGGGAAGCTAAAAAGAGCAAAGCAATTAGTGATGAAGGCAGCTTTAGATGCAACTAAAGGGCAGTACCAAAAGTTGTATAGTTATCAGCTAGAGCTTCTTAGAAGTAATCCAGGCAGCACAATTGTTGTGAACAGAGAGGTGGGAATGGATCCACCTGTATTCAAGAGAATATACATATGCTTAGGTGCACTGAAGAAAGGATTCCTAGCAGGTTGCAGGAAAGTTATAGGGCTTGATGGTTGTTTCTTCAAGGGTGCAACTAATGGAGAGTTGATCTGTGCTCTAGGAAGGGATGCAAATAACCAAATGTATCCAATTGCTTGGGCAGTAGTCCACAAAGAAAACAATGAGGAATGGGATTGGTTCATGGATTTATTGAGTAGTGATTTGCAAGTTGGTGATGGGGAAGGGTGGGTCTTCATTTTAGACCAACAAAAGGTATGAAATTGCTGATATGTTGTGTATAATAATGGTCTTTTATGAGGTCTTCATTTGTACTGACTTGATCTGTGCTTGCAGGGGATTCTCAATGCTGTTCAAAAATGGGCTCCAATGGCTGAACATAGAAATTGTGCTAGGCACATCTATGCCAACTGGAAGAAGCACTTCCATGACAAAGAATAACAAAAGAAGTTTTGGAGGTGTGCCAAAGCTTCTTGCACCATGCTGTTCAATTTGGCAAGGGCACAACTAGTGCTGGTCACTCATGCAGGAGCACAAGCCATCATGAACACACATCCCCAACATTTGAGTAGAGCTTGGTTCAAGGTAGGTTCAAATTGTGATTCTGTAGATAATAACTTGTGTGAATCATTTAACAAGTGGATCCTAGAGGCAAGATTCTTCCCAATTATAACCATGCTTGAGACAATTAGAAGAAAAGTAATGGTTAGGATCAAGGACCAAATAGCAAACTCCAATAGATGGAACACAGTTATTTGCCCTGGTATATTAAAGAAGTTGAATGTTTACATTGCCGAGTTTGCATTTTGTCATGCAATATCAAATGGGGCTGAGGCATATGAGGTGAAACATCATGAGCATAGATTTACAGTGCAGCTAGACAAAAAGGAATGCTCATGCAGGTATTGGCAGCTATCTGGATTGCCTTGCCCTCATGCTATTGCTTGCATATTCTACAAGACTAGCCAACTTGATGGTTACATTGCTGACTGCTACTCAGTGGAAACATTTAAGAAGATTTATGCACACTGCCTACAGCCACTAGAAGGGATGAGCTCTTGGCCAGAGGATGATAGACAACCACTAAATGCTCCTGGGTACATCAAGATGCCAGGAACGCCAAAGACAGAGAGGAGAAGAGAGGCTCATGAACCTGCCAAAGCAACTAGGGCAAGCAAGATTGGAACAATCATCAGATGTAGGAAATGCAAGTAGGCCACAACAGATCTACTTGTGATAAGCATAATGGTGAAGGTAGTACCACTTCAAGGCCTCAGCAAGTTCCAAACCCAGATCAACATATAGTGCTATGAAACACACCACAGAGCTCAACTCAAAGCAGGAAGAGGAAGTCAGTTGCATCTGCCACCATCAGTGCTGCAAGCATGTCAAAGACAAAAATTCCTAGCAACCAAAAGTTTAGTCAAGTGTCAGTCAATTTTACATTCATAGCACAATAAACCATTTATTCATTTACCTAATTCTGAAATATTGTAGGCACTCCAAGTTGTTAGGGTCAATGCAACAACAAGAGTTGCAACACATCAAGGTGGTTCTGCTACTGTCAATTTGCAAGCCATTGTACCAGGATCCCAGGGATCGACAAGTGCATCAGTATAGATCAAGTCTGGGAAAGCTTCTGTTTCTGTATCAGCTCAAGAACCAGGAAATGGCAAGGGAAAGAAACCTACTCCTGGTCCACTGCTACTTATACCTCCATGGGAATCTGCCAAACTGTGATGCCATTTGTTGAAGGCTGTGATGCCATCTGTTGCAAACTGTGTTGCCATTTGCTATGTTATGTTATGTGTAATATTCTAAGGCATTGTATTGCCAGACTTGAAGTTCCTGTGATGTTTTGTAAGACTTAATGCCAGACTTCTGTGTGAGTTGCCAGACTTCATGTCAGGTTCTGAGGCATTGTATTGCCAGACCTGAAGTATGTGTGCTGCTTTATGGCCAGACTATGGCTGATTTAGTGATGTAATTGCCAGACTTAAAGGCAAGATATTAAGTGTTATATTCCAGACTTATGGCATATTATTATGTGATGAATTTCCCAACTTTATGTCTTATAACTTGTATATGTACACAGTTCATTTAACTCCTGATTGTTTTGCTCCCAATCTGAAAGTCAGTGATGATGAACTTTGACAATTTGCATCCAGATTCAACATTCACTCACATTTTGTACTACAAAAGATAATTCCATTCATTCAAACATATTACAAGCCATTCTTGCTACCTTACATCAACATTCACTCATACATCTCAGCTGACATTCTTAGTACCTTCCATCATAATAACATTCACTGATACTACTCAGTTCATCACCCAAACCATGACAAACAGACCACAGATTGCCAGTAAAACAAAAAAAAAGCACGCACCTATCCTTCTCTAGCCTACGGTTTTGTTCTTTCAACAGAACCAATTTTGCATCGGTCTCAACAACATGCTTCTTCAACGCTGCCAACTCCCTCCTAGCTGTATCTACATCACGAGCCATGGCTTGCCCTTCCCTAACAGCAACAAAAAGTTCATCCTTCTCCCTCCTTAGTGACCACACCGCATCGCGCAAATCATTCAACAGATCTCTGATAAAACTGCTCGTTGGCCCTTCATGCCAGTCAAAAAAAATTGCATCCACCGTCTTAGGTTCACAAACCCTAGAAATCAGTCCCAACGAGAAATCCAATCCAACAAAGAGAATCAAAATAAAAACTCACTCGAGCATTGCGACATTTGTAGTATCGTCGCCCCGGGTTGTCACGGCTCCACGAGATCCATCGTGCCGCCTTCGCTCTGCATCTGCACAGCACCGTAGGTTGATACTCCATTGGCCCCATGCGATGCGGGATGGGCGAGGCTGATGTGCGACGGGAAGAAGCGGAAGATGCCTCGCTATGATAACTGGCCATATCCGCCCGCGCTGCTCAAGCTCACTGCCGCCTAAGTCACTGAGAATGGTTGGTGGTAAGGTTGGGGAATAAAGCCCCTCGCGCCGGTGTGTGCTTTTATTCCCAACTACCGTGCTGACTCGGCTTTTTGACCGGGGTCAATCCTCCACGTCGGACGAAACCACCCACAATACTGCCCTGGTAGTTGATTTGCACCGGTTTAAGCAATTGAGGGATGTGATATACCCGGTTTTACGGTTGGAGGGCATGTTTCATACTCGGCCTATAGTTGAGGGAGTCAAAGTATACTTTTTCCATATATATATATAGTGTAGGTGCAATCTCTCAAAACGACTCACTCGATGTTTGCTTTTGGGAAGGTGGTTTTTACTGATGTGACTGGGTTGATCTAGTCTAACCAGCTGAATTGGCATGTGAGACCTGCACTGCATGTTGATGTCTCTCATACTCTTTCTTTATATTATGTTATGTGAATCCTCTCTTAATTTGTCAACACGAGTCAATGACAATTGATGATTGTGCCTCCGAATTTCATTTAATTTAAATTTGTCTTCCCTAGCTCCTTCGGTTGTTAAGCTGTTGCTTTTTTAAGAAATCATATCGTTGACAATCTTCTATCAACCTCAATCGGGGAGTAGCTATACATTTCTCGTCGAATTTTAACTAAAAATTCGACAGATGTAAATATCGTGCAATCGTGATGTAATTATGTTTTAACTCGCATGTAATTGTAGTGTAACTTTCAAAAACTCCTAAGTGACATGCTATTTCTGTGAAAACGGAGGTAGTGATAATGAATCCTCTCACATGTGTGTAGATTGTGATTTTTTCTCTCTCCTTTGCATAAATTTTAAAGCAAATCAAACGATTTAAAATCACATGGTACTATATTTACATATCTCAAATGTTTAAAAAACATTTATCGATAAATATATAGCAAAATCACAATTGAATTGTGTATCGCAATCTTCGTGGGAACACATCAATTTGGTTAATTTCTACTCCCTCCGTTTCACAATGTTAGTCATTCTAACATTTCCCATATTTATATTGATGTTAATGAATTTAGACATATATATATATATATATATATATATATATATATATCTAGATTCATTAACATCAATATGAATATAAGAAATGCTATAATGACTTACATTGTGAAACGGAGGAAGTAGCTACCACCCTATCGTAAACATTTGTCACTCCTCACACGACCTCTTCAATTGCTTTCCTGTATGTGGTTTCTTTATTCTTTTTAACGAACGAGCATGCTGTCAATTTCATTAAATAAAACATGAGAAAATTGTACCATGTAGAAAGAAACCGAGAAAAATAAGGTCATGTTTGGATATAGGGACTAAATTTTAGTCTCTGTCACATCGGATGTTTGTACATTAATTAGAAGTATTAAACATAGATTAATGACGACAAAACCCATCCTTTTAAACCTAATTAATTTATAATTAGCACATGTTTACTTCTCTTTAATTTTAGATGGTGTTTGAATTTAGGGATTAAATTTTAGTCCCTATCACATCGGATGTTTGGACACTAATTAGAAGTATTAAACGTAAACTAATGATAAAATTCATTCCATATATAACCCTAGATTAATTCGCGAGACGAATCTATAGTTAATTTATGATTAGCCTCTGTGATACTATATTAAACATGTGCTAATTATAGATTAATTAGGCTAATTAAAGTTCCTTACATACATCGCGAAAAGCTCTTTGATTAGGGGAATCCATGGGGCTAGCATTCGTCAGATCCTCATAGCTTGTGTATTTGAAACTTGTCAGGAGGTGGAAAGCCTGCATTTCCTGCACTGAGTGACGATAAGGTTGCAAGTGGAGCTGTTTGGGAGTTTCTAGCATTTTTCTGCTTTCGATTCACACTTGACTGCGTTCGGTCCTGCCGCATCTCAGCAGCCCAAAAAAACGGAGTGATCTATTAGCTCAATATAGTATTAGCTAATTTACTTTAAAAAAAAGTTCAATATAGTTTTTTAAGCAACTTTCGTATATAAACATTTTGTAAAAAAATATATCATTTAACAGTTTAAAAAGCGTGCGTGTAGCAAACGAGAGGAGAGAGTTGGGAACTGGCTATAACGAACGCAGCTGCCAATCTACTCCAATTAGGGCCTGTTTAGATCAATTTGCTGCGGCAAATTTTTTTGGTAAAAGTTTCTTACAAGTTGGTGTGTTTAGATGCATGGTAAAGTTTTGCCATTAATTGTTGCTGCCACTCTCATGGACGGGGCCTGATGCTTTTTTAGCCAAATTTGCTGCTATGGACTCTCAAATAATAAATGCCAACTTGACTACTTTTTGCTACTATAGTGTTTAGATCCATTTTGCTAAAAAGTGATCAAAAGGGCAAAACTTAAACTTTAACCATTTTAAAGGATCTAAAGAGACACTTAGTCTTTTTTTTTTCTTTGCGCCGGCCACCATCTGTACAGATATTTTTGTTTTTGTTTTTTGGACGGGCAATAATAGTATAGTGTTTAACTAGGATAACCCTAATGGGCGATCGATCGCTCCAGGCGATCAACCCCGAAAATCCTACTGGGTGAGCGATCGCCCGGGGCGATCAGGACGCGATCCTCCTCCTCCACGTGGTTTCCTTTTTTTTGGCATTGCATTACTTTTTATTTTAGTAAATTTATACACCTAAAGTTCGTACACCTCAAGTTTACACATCTAAAGTTTATACACCTAAAGTTTAGAGACCTAAAGTTTATAAGTCAAAAGTTTATATATCCGATTCAAATTTGAATTTGAATTCAAATATTTTTTATATATAGTATTTCTATACATCTAAAGCTTGTATACCTAAAGTTTATAGATCCAAAGGTTCTAAGTCAAAAGTTTATATACCCGATTTAAATTTGAATTTGAATTATATCCAATTCAAATTTGAACTTGAATTCAAATATTTTTTTATATATAGTATTTCTATACATCCAAAGTTTATACACCTAAAGTTTATAGACCCAAAGTTTATAAGTCAAAAGTTTACATACCCGATTCAAATTTGAATTTGAATTCAAATATTTTTAGATAATGAAAATGGATTACATCTCCGGCTTCTGTCATAAGACACACAGCCAAAGTTAATTTAATAGTAATAAAAAGGTAAGGTAAAAGTAAATCAAAATGAGAAATAAGGTGATAGGACAAATCCCCAACTCCCCTTTATTATTGACTAGCGTTAAACCACATAATTTTTTTAGCTAGCAATTCTAATGGAACTACGCCACCCATAGTGGAATAAGAGACCCTTGGCTACCGATTCCAAGAGTGTAGCACCATTGCGCATAGTATCATGCTCCTCCTGTGGTAGCATCGTAGATCAGAAATGGAGCCAGTAGAAAGACATGAAGATAACTTGCATAGGGTTAGATAATTGTTTACCATTAAAAACTTTATCATTACGACAACGCCAAATTGACCAATATACAACACTAGCTCCAATTAGAATCATCTTCTTAATGGATCTAGATACCCCTCTAAGCCAATTACCGAAAATGTTTTTGGCGTTACGGGGTGGGGGATATTAAAAGCAAAAAAACACACATCTCCAAACAAACTGAGCGACATGACAGTCAAAGAAAAGATGTTGGATTGTCTCTTGTGCATAGCAGAAAGAACAATGTTTGTCTCCCCCTATTTTCTTTTAACGAGGTTATCTTTCGTTAGAATTACTTTCTTGTGAAGAAACCATATAAAGACCTTGATCTTTAGTGGAATTTTCAAGTCCCACAAAATTCTCTTTTTATCCGAACATTACAGTTCATGATCGCGGCATACATAGATTTGACGGAAAATTGACCATTCTTATGGATCGACCATACAAAGCAGTCATTTTTATTTGACAGAGTTATATTAGCTAGCCTGAGGATCAAATCGTTCCACTCAATTAGCTTTTGGCCAACAATAGCTCTCCTAAAAGAGATATTTAGTGGCGTTGTGCTCATGACCTCTGCCACAGTAGACTAATTCAAATATTTGTTTACAGACCCAAAGTTTATATACATGTTTTAAATTTGAATTTGAATTCAAATATTTTTTATATATATAGTATATTCTATACATAAATTTTTCCAAATTTATTTTTTTTATTTTTTTAAAAATTTATGGTGTAGTAGGAATAGAAGAAGGGGAGGAGGAAAGGAGAGAGTAGCGTATAGGGCATGGGGGGTGATCGCGGGCGATCCGCCCATTAGCCACACCCGTTTAACTATGCGTATGCCTATGTATCTTATGATATGCCTACGTAAGTTGGTTGTTGCAACTTAATTAACAATTAACAAAGTAACAACATACATATGTCCCACTTGATTTGCAGCATGTGCCACCATCTCCATATCTGCTAGCTAATATATGCACGGGAATTTATATCCATCTCATAAAAAAATTCCATCTAGGATTCCAACAGTATCGAGAAAAGGAATAATATTTCTATAACAAACCAATGCAAGTTAATTTAATACTAATATTTGACAAGGGAGCAATTTACTACTCCTCTATACGTTCTTTTATTGTTTTTGTTGTTGCTGCTGCTGCGTTCTTCGTTGGTTTGAAAGATCAATGTAGTACTATTCACCTGATTGAGACTCTAGAGAAGCAAAAAAAAAAAAAATAAAACACATGTATAGTTAGTTAGGCTCTGAAATGTGATGTTAGACACGCGCATCTAATCCAATTGAAAGAGAAACATGCACATGCAGTCACTACGCGACCTAGCGATTGGCTTGGATTGATCTATATGTGCACTGTCAACGTACAGCGGCTAACTGTGCAACTGTCCTTAATTACTTTAGTGAAGTAATTACTACCCCACTCCTGTCAGGCTGCAGTCCAGACACTCTGTGGAGTAGTAATATATTGTTAAGACCTTGACCTAGCTAGTTGACTCTGATCATTTTGATAGCTGGTGGTATTAGCTTACAATATCAAGATCACATAATAGTAAATCAGTACGTCCTGCTTCAGTTGATTAATTTTTTTTGACAGCTTTTCGTTAGCAGATATTGCAAGTAATTAGGTAGCCCAGTCAAGTAAGTTAGGACATATGGACATGGAGAAGACATTTATTCTCGCAAGTAAAGTACTACTGATTAGAACAAAAAGGTAATCAAAGCGTACAGAGCTAGGGTGGTGTTTGGTTGGAGGGACTAAAGTGGGGCTAAACTTTAGTCTCTCTCACAAAAATATAAGTCCCTATGAGAGAGATTTATGAGAGAGACTTATGTTTTTGAAGAGGGGCTAAACTCTCCCAAACACCCCTAGGGAGAAAAGAAGAAAGCAAGCTCGATCTATATGCTGGCTGCTACTGCTAGAGAGAGAGAGAGGTGAGGATCGAAGAAAGCTAAAGCAGCAAGCTAGTTAATATATAAAGCAGTAGTGTGTATGTATGGCTGTATGTAGGGCACGCAATTGATCAGTGTTGAAAAGGAAAGAAAGAAAGAAAGAAGGAATCTTCAGTTGGTGTTGAGCTGTTTGTGATATATGAGATGCTAAAAGATGACATCTTTGCTTGCATCCAAAGCCACATCGGAATTTTACGGAGTATATATAGCTTCTTGATACGGCCCGGCTGATCCTGTGATCCACATATATACACTGACTGAATATGTAGATGTTAGGTACAGACATGCAGAGAGGAGAGGAGAGGGGAGCAGAAACGAAAAAGAAAGAAAGCAACGGCGGCACTGTCATTGGATATTGCCTCCTCACCAACTAGCTTGTGCTAATTCATTACCTCCCCCGATGACCAGCCTATAAAAAAAACAAAATGCTTCAGTATTCTTGTGATCTGAATCTCTCTGTAAACTAGCAGTAGTGCTAGCTTTGTCCAAACTTGGTCTATTTTGTTACTGTTTGTAACAGAAGAAACGAAGTGGAGTAGCTTGGATGTCTTGTACATGTGGCCAGGGGGCAGGGGGGTTAACATAAAATAGGAGTATCTCGTTAAGCGGAGCAGCAGCTTAATTAGCTCATGAATCTAGCTGTGGAGTGGATATATATAAGCACAAGTACAGCATTGAATCTACTTGTGATGAAGCACAAGTAGGAGGTGTCATGTGAGGGAGGCCTTGTGGATTACTCATGTGAGGGAAGGGAGGCGCACAGCAAGAGCTTAGATTATGAAATCTGAAGCAGAGGCGCCAGTGTATGCATATGCTGTGATCAACTAGTAGTAAAATAGTAGTACTAGCAAGTATAGTACTACTACCTCCCTACCATAAAAATTAAATTTCTAGGAAGTTAAAGATAGATTAAGAGAATACACAAATGATCACAATAAACTTATTTAATAAACACATTACATACACATATACCATATATATAAACTTGATTAAAAGACGATTGAGACAACGGGTTAGGTCGAGATGGGATAGATGGAAGAGAGATTACAAGAAAACATATTTTGATATAATCAATTTACCAGGTCCCACATTATTAGAAATATAATTTGTATGGGACAAGAAATTTAATTATAAGAATGAAGATAATAAGTACTTCATTCGTTCCATAAAAACCAATCTATTACTAGTTGTGACATATCTCTACTATAAATCTAAATATATCTCTGTCTACATTCGTTGTACTAAAATTTATCATATTTAGTATTAGATTTTTTTTTGACAGAGGTAGTAGTAGATTCCAAGTTGAATATATGCGTCTGTTAACTAGTATGAGTAATTGATTAGTTACCGTCTTGTTCGTGTGATGGAGATTTTTGAGATTGATGGAGGACAAGAATCAAGACAGGGAGAGTGGATAGAGACAAGTGAGTTCGTAGCCACGTTTAACTCGAGACAGCTTTAGATACAAATAAATAAATAAATAAATATATATATATATATATATATTAGATATATGGATGCAAGCAGTTAACTACTCTACATCTCAAAATATAAAAGATTTTAGAAGGATATGGCATATCCTAGATAAAGATGTGACTTCTTTTGTATTTTTAAAAGCAAACGAACTTAAAACCAACTCAAATACGAATGACGTATCAAAACACTGGCAAAAATATTTTCAATTTTTATAATAATAAAGATAGAGATAGAGATGTGACACATAAAATCCTTTATATTATAGGATGGAGGGAGTATTTTAAAACCTCTCATATTTTGGACCGAGAAAGTAGTATGAGCAGTGGGGAAGTGGGGATTTGATTGGTTTATTGTATTTGTTCGGCATATAAGATACTATATGAGTATATAAAATCAGGATGCTTTCTTGTGCTGGGCCAGCAGAGAGATGGATTGATGGACGGAATTGCACGCACCAAAATAATCGAGAGACAGCATCCAATTCTCATCCATCCATCGCTTGGCCCTTGCTCATCTTGGAGTAATTATTTGACCCTAAAAGAAATTTCAACACTATATGTCATTGTCGATGTTTTATATATATATATATATATATATATATATATATATATATATATATATATATATATATATATATATATATATATATAAAGCGTCTTAATTTAAAGAAAAAACGAAACCAAACTTTACCATGTACAGTGAAATACTCCAGTAAAAGACTGGATGAAAACCAACAAACTCACAACTAACTAATCTAAAATGAAACAAAGAAAGTAAATATGAAAGCAGTAGAAGTAAAGGAAGGGGCGGGCAGGTTACATCCATGATCCCATCAATAGTAGTAGTACAAGAACAAGGAAGAAATTCCATGAGTTAACTAAATTAAGGAGGAGTATCCATTCCATGAGTTAACTAATACTAATACTATTGGCTCAGGCATCAGCTGATGAGGCCTGAGGTCATGAGGAGAGGAGCTGAGGCCTCACCCTCCTCCTGATGCCTTGCTCTCTTGCCTCCTGCTCTCGCTTCTTCTCTCCTCTATTTTCTTGGCCTCGCCTCGCCGGCTGCTCAGTGCTCAATCAAGAAGAAGAAGAAGAAGCTCTCTTTCGATGATCTCCCTGAGTTAGTTAACGCTTACTCTGCTCTCTATATATCTGTTTGATCCAGCCAGCCACCTCCATCTTTGCTTGGTTGGTTGAGATTTGAGATGTTGAGGTCCATGTTTGAGATTGAATTGAGGACAGGTTCCTGAACCGGCAGGGAGGCTGAGGAGTTAATTAATTTCCGTCTGTCTGTCGGTGCAGCCAGTTCCCATACCACCTGCTGCATCAACTCCGTACTCCATAAACATATATATTTTGCTTCTTCTCTTCTCCCTGCTCCATCGATTCTTCTTGTAAGAGCTGCTTGCTACCTAGTTGGATCAGTAGTAGAGGAGGCAGCTAGCTAAGCTAGCTACCAATTAATGGCGGGTGATCAGCTGCTCCGGCGGCTCCTGTTCCTCCTGTGGGTGGTGGCGCTGGCGGTGCCGGGGCTGGCGGCCAGGCCGGCGAACGTCAGCATCGGCGCGCTCTTCACCTTCGACTCCGTCATCGGGAGGGCGGCCAAGGTCGCCATCGAGCTGGCCGTCGCCGACGTGAACCGCGACGACGGCGTTCTCAACGGGACATACCTGAGCGTGGTGGAGCAGGACACCAAGTGCAGCGGATTCATCGGCATCATCCAAGGTAACTAACTCTCATCGATCCCCTTCCTCCCTCCCTCCATCCACTCATTAATTAAATCTGTTGCGCTGTCAACTTACTACTAATTCGATAGGTAGGGGAAGAGTAGTTATCTAATTCCTCCATTCTCGTTTGATTTTTTTCTTAATCTTTTTTAAAGTTTGACCAAGTTTTCATAAAATTACTAACATTTTAGAAAAATATATTATTAAAATATATTTAATGGAACTAATTAATTTGATGTTGTAGATGCTAAATTTTTCCTATAAAATTTGATCAAATCTAATAAACTTTGATTAAGAGAAAATATCAAATGATTTATAATATAAAATGAAGGAAGTATTATAGTATTTGACTGCGTGATTAATCGAGTGTTGACTCTGCTTCTGATGGAGATGGACCCTACCTTACTTGCCTCCCTCCATATCTTCTTGTCTCCTGCACATGAAAATTTCGTTTTTCTTCTTCATCATCAATCTTCTTGTTTTTCTCTACTTGGTTTGGCTAAGAGAGAGAGAGAGAGAGAGAGGGTTTGGTCGGTCACTCGGTCAGATTCATGCGTTACACGCCTTCCTTGACTATTATTTGTAGAATTCTATAGTAGCTTTCTCCCCCCAAAAACTGTCCCTCCCTCCGTGCTCATGTCATGCTTATCAGTTATATATCACACAGAATTTCATTTCCTACATGATGCATCATAGTTGCATACTACTACTTTCTCCTCCCTTTCATATTATAAGTCGCTTTAACATTATTTTCCTAGTTATGTTTTCGGATTAAAACAGCTGCCTCAGATATGTACACTTGTCAGTTGTTGTTTCCAGGCTGCTTCTATGCTTATTGTATGTTTCATCCATACTCAGACCCTGTTTAGATTGGACTAAAACTTTTAAGTCCCTATCACATCGGATGTTTGAACACTAATTATAAATATTAAACGTAGACTATTAATAAAACCCATACATAATCTTGGACTAATTCGAGAGACGAATCTATTGAGCCTATTTAATCCATGATTAGCTTATGTGATGTTACAGTAAACATTCTCTAATTATAGATTAATTAGGCTTAAAAAAATTGTCTCGCAAATTAGCTTTCATTTATGTAATTAGTTTTCTAAGTAGTTTATATTTAATACTCTAAATTAGTGTCTAGATACAGAAACTAAAATTAAGTCCGTGATCCAAACATCACCCGAGTTGGCTACCTGCACTACATTCATTCCTTGTCAAAGCTGGATGAATACTACTTACAAGACTTGGTTTTTTTTTTCTTTCCTGAGAGGCTGAGATGCTTTGCCCGTCCTCTGCTTTTCATAGCTAGAGCCTAAAGGCAAATGGTACCACCGTAGTTGGTTCCTAAATCAAAGCCAACTTTACTCACATGTTAATGACCCTACATTCTGGTACATAGATCAAAGATTTCATCATTCAGGGGAAATGTGTTTGTTCTTTTATGTTTGCCCGGCGAAAGATGTATATGCAATACAATGTAGTAGTAGTATCTGAACCCAAGTTGGGTTGCCTTTTACTCCACTAGTTGTAATTTGGAAACTACGTACGAAACTGACATGTATAATTTTAGCCAAATTAAGAAAATTTGAGAATTTTGGAAGAGAAGAGAATGAGAATGTGCATTATATATGCAGGTCTGCAGGTGATGGAGAAGAAGGTGGTGGCGGTGGTGGGGCCACAGTCGTCGGGGATCGGACACGTGGTGTCGCACGTCGCCGACGAGCTGCGCATCCCGCTGGTGTCGTTCGCCGCCACCGATCCGACGCTGGGCTCCTCCCAATACCCTTACTTCCTCCGCGCCACCCACAGCGACTTCTTCCAGATGGCCGCCGTCGCCGACATCATCTCCCACTACGCCTGGCGCGAGGCCACCCTCATCTACGTCGACAACGACTACGGCCGCGCCGCCCTCGACGCCCTCGGCGACCACCTCCAGTCCATGCGCTCCAAGGTCTCCTACCGTGCCCCGCTCCCCCCCGCCGCCGACCGCGCCGCCATCACCGACCTCCTCCTCCGCGTCAGCATGATGGAGTCCCGCGTCATCGTCGTCCACGCCAACCCGGACTCCGGCCTCGACATCTTCGCCGCCGCGCAGTCGCTCGGCATGATGTCCAGCGGCTACGTCTGGATCGCCACCGAGTGGCTCGCCGCGCTGCTCGACTCCGACTCGTCGCCTCCCAGGAAGACCACCGCCCTGGCCCTGCTCCAGGGTGTCGTCACGCTCCGCCAGTACACCCCGGACTCCGACGCCAAGAGGTCGCTCATGTCCAGGTTCGCCGCGCGGCTGCAGGCCCACAACACCACTGGCGGCATCAACGCGTACGTGCTCTTCGCCTACGACGCCGTGTGGATGGCGGCGCGCGCCGTCGACCAGCTCCTCGTCGACGGCTCCAACGTCTCCTTCTCCGACGACGCCAGGCTGCGCGCCGAGAACGAGACCGGGAGCGCGCTCCGCCTGGGCGCACTCAAGGTGTTCGACCAGGGCGAGCAGCTGCTGAGCAAGATGAAAACGCTCAACTTCACCGGCGTCACCGGGCAGGTGCGGTTCGGCGACGACAGGAACCTGGCCGACCCGGCGTACGAGGTGCTGAACGTGGGCGGCACCGGGGTCCGGCGGGTGGGGTACTGGTCGAACCGCACGCGGCTGTCGGTGACGGCGCCCGAGCAGGAGCAGAACGGCAAGAAGAAGAAGCAGCAGGGGGAGGAGCTTTACAGCGTGATCTGGCCGGGGGAGACAGCGTCGACGCCGCGCGGGTGGGTGTTCCCGAACAACGGGAAGGCGCTGCGGATCGGGGTGCCGTACCGGACGACGTACAAGCAGTTCGTGTCCAAGGACGCGGGGGGGCCGGACGGCGCGAGCGGGTACTGCATCGACGTGTTCAAGGCGGCGGTGGCGCTGCTGGCGTACCCGGTGCCGGTGTCGTACGTGGTGGTGGGGGACGGGGTGAAGAACCCGAGCTACGGGGAGCTGGTGCAGCGGGTGGCGGAGGGGGAGCTGGACGCGGCGGTGGGGGACATATCGATCGTGACCAACAGGACGCGGGTGGTGGACTTCACGCAGCCGTACGTGGAGTCCGGGCTGGTGATCGTGACGGCGGTGAGGGAGAGGGCGTCCAGCGCGTGGGCGTTCCTCAAGCCCTTCACGAGGGAGATGTGGGCGGTCACGGGGGGATTCTTCCTCTTCGTCGGGGCGGTGGTCTGGGTGCTGGAGCACCGCTCCAACACCGACTTCAGGGGCTCGCCGCGGAAGCAGCTGGTCACCGTCTTCTGGTTCAGCTTCTCCACCATGTTCTTCGCCCACCGGGAGAACACGGTGAGCACGCTGGGGAGGCTGGTGCTCATCATCTGGCTCTTCGTCGTGCTCATCATCAACTCCAGCTACACCGCCAGCCTCACCTCCATCCTCACCGTGCAGCAGCTGTCCACGGGCATCCAGGGCCTTGACGGCCTCATCGCCAGCTCCGACCCCATCGGCTTCCAGGTCGGCTCCTTCGCCAAGAGCTACCTCATGCAGGAGCTGGGCGTGCCCGAGTCCCGCCTCCGGGAGCTCGCCATCACCGACTACGCCTCCAGCCTGCAGACCGGCGTCGTGGCGGCCATCGTCGACGAGCTGCCGTACGTCGAGCTCTTCCTCTCCACCAACTGCCAGTTCAGGACGGTGGGACAGGAGTTCACAAAGAGCGGATGGGGATTCGTGAGTATTCTTTCTTTCTTTCTTCTTCGAGTTCTTCTTCTTCTTCTTCTTCTTCTTCTTCTTCTTGATACTACGACATATGCAGGCTTTCCAGCGCGACTCCCCTCTGGCCGTGGACCTTTCGACGGCGATCCTGACGCTGTCGGAGAACGGCGACCTGCAGAGGATCCACGATAAGTGGCTGAGCCCGGGGCAGTGCGCGTCGCAGGGCACCGACGTCGGCGCCGACCGCCTCAACCTCAGCAGCTTCTGGGGACTCTTCCTCATCTGCGGCGTCGCCTGCTTCATTGCCCTCCTCATCTTCTTCTTCCGCACGCTGCGCCAGTACTTCAGATACCACGGCCACGCCGACATCGACGACGACGACGACAGCGAGAACAAGGCAACGCCGTTCCCGGTGGATGGCGGCGAGAGGATGAGCTCGCGGCGGCCGGCGCGGCTGGCCAGCATCCGGGACCTGATGACGTTCGTGGACATGAAGGAGGCGGAGGTGAAGCGGAGGAAGAAGATGATGAACGAAGACAGCAGCAGCTGCGGGAGGCGGCTGGACATGGACAGTCACAGTCACAGGTCCATGCCCACCTCCGCCAACGCCAACGCCGCCCCGCCCTCTTCTTCCTTTTCCTCCGTCTAATAACCAATGCATTCCATTAACCTCACATACTAACCCAAATACTAGGAATTCCTACTAACCAATATCAAGATTGATCAAAGATCATCATCATATTCATCCCTGTAATGGGAAATAGGCAACTAACTAATACTAGTATATTTAAGCGTCCAGTATTATCCGATGATTAGCCGTGTAAGTTCACTTGTACTACACAATCATGGATCTGAAACAGAAACTCTATACCAAGGGAAGAAGGGAGAATTGGTGTTTCCTTGAGACTTCCTTCCGGTGACATGTCCCAAAGCTTTCAGAGCTCAAACCATCATATATATGTGCCTTGCTCTGTCTTGATCTCTCCACTCTTTCAGGGTAAAAGCTATCAACAACTTAATTGCTCTCGTCTAGTTATCTTATACAACAAAATATGTCAGCTCATGAAGCATGTAATAATTAGTTTTGCATTGCAGAGCACACACAGGTTCCTAAGAGCGCTATGAACTAGTACTACTAGTAAAATAGGCTGCACAAGTCTGCAAAAGCAGAGTGCATACTCTGTTCTTCCAACCTTATACTTGCTCATCCTTCATGATATTTACCATGTGAGAACCAACTCTCATACAAATCCTTAGTCCTCGCTCAGGTTAGCAAACTTTGTCATCGCCATAAGGCCACCCAATCTATCACATAAAGGGAGGGTATGCTAGGGCGATGAGATGAGGTCAAGTGTCTCCTCAAAGCTCGGTGCCTGCTGCGGCATTCTCATCGAGATTGCTCTCCTCATTGTACTGGGGCTTTGGCTCCAAATCAATAAATTGATTTGAGTTACTGGCCAAATGTGATATGCTCACCCTCCCTTGTTTCCTGATGTAATCTGCGACAGCCTTCATCTCCTCAGTAGATATGTATATGAACTTCCCACGATCATCCATGACACCAGATAGCCTATCTGTGGTATTGTAAAGGGCAGCCCATCAGACCAAACAAGGTTGCGGAGTAACTTATCAAGTCATGCCAAAATATGCAAAGCATATGCCACTTAGGCTGATGCAGTAGCACAAGACAATAGTTTCAAGTCACAAAAGAGTGATACATACCCATGCCTTCAAGTGTAATGATCCGGTTGATACAGTCCTGGAAAAGAGGAAAGGCAATCAGAAGAGAAGTGAAATAGGATGCCAGTAAAGAATGGAAGGAAAGGTTTTCCTCAGACACTAGGATCACAAAAGGTAGATAAAAAAACTAGTTCCAAAAGATTAGCGATCACCAATAAATAAATTCCTGCAGTAAGAACAGGGCACATTGTTTCCCAAGGGAACAATATACAGCATGCTCTTGATGGCCATTTTAGGGAAAATTATTTTTTCTAATTGATTTGCTAGATAGTCATGGCTCTGGGGAACAATAGAGTGGAGACTGCAGTGCAGAAAATCCAATACTCCAATCTCTGGCACTAGTGATACTAATACAGTGCCCATGCATTGCAACTGATCCGGAAGTGTCTTTAAAGCACCAAGCGAATCAACTAATGCATAAATGGTGATAATACAGATAGGCAGCATATTGTTGTTGGTTGTTCCATGTTGTTTTGCATTGCTCAAATAAAAACAGAATATATGGGATAGACACAAAGTTAAAAAAAAATACAAATGAGTTAGCTAGGTGTTACACTCATGTTTGCAAGGTTAGGAAACAGGGTATCAAGTACCTAATGGATTATGGATTTATCTTCATTTCTGAGTTCTGACATGACCTTATAGCTCAGAGTGCATAAAGTGTTAATGATGTTAGCAGCAGTAGTAACACTAGTCCCTATGGCATATAAAGGCTCTTTAATTACCTGTGTTCTCATCCTGAACTCTGCGGCAAGGTCCTCTAGAGGAACACACTTCTGGTTCTGTAAGGTTTATGGAAACAAATAAAATTACAAAATTGTCAGTTTACTAAGCCAAGCAGGTTTACCTAAGTACTTATACAACCAACGGCATGAGAATATAATACTGCAGCCTTAAAAATATCCTTTTAGCAAACTAGAGAAATATTTTTATAGTTGCTACAATTTATAAGAACTTTTTGACAAACTTTAATGTAATAGAGATGTAGGTTGTCTGTCAAGGCTAAAGGGAAAACACGAATAACTTCATTTTTTTTGGATGATGACAGTTAAATATGATGTGTCATGAAAAGAAGATAAATTTATTTGGTTTCCAAATTTCACAAAGTTACAAAATCATGCCAACTGGGTGACTATGCATGAGCTCTACATTGCACAACCATAAGAGGTAGAGCAGAGGCACTTAATTTGTCAAATAATAGGTCTACAAATTCTTGAACGCAACACATCACTGTCTTCACAAAAAAAAAAGAGGAGTACCTTGATGTACTCTACAAAATTGTGGAGCAAACCCTGGCCATCATCTTGTGTGTCACTCTCTGTTGTACCTTCAGCATCAACTGAGAAGGCTCCTTTCCATTTCTCAAATTCCAAGGCAGCAGCTTCCTCCTCTTTGGCTTTCCTCGCCCTTGCTTCTTCTTCCTAAAACAATTAAACAATCAAGTCAACTGGAGCTGAATAGCAATATCAAACAGAATGATGAGCAGTTAAGTGGTGTCCAACCATAAGTCTCTCTTGTGCCTCACGCTCTTCGTCTTTCTTCCTCCTCATTTCTGCATAGCGATCTTGTTTAGTCCTCCTCGAATCCCGGGCTGCTTCTTCGGCCTGGCAAGTAGACAGTTTGTGCGCATGAATGTGAAAAACTTGGAACTTTTAGTGAACAAACAGCAAAGGAATGCATATGAAAGTTTTGGTCCATTGTTATACTGTGAGTTGAACAATCAAGCCGGTCATCACATATGTTACTTTTCTTAACGGTTACCATGACATATCTTCATCGGGAAACCAACATGGAACCTTAAATCTAAAAAGCTGCTATCAGTCTTGGCATACTATGAAGTTGGTTTCAATGTGTAAGGAGGAACCAATGACACAGACTTGCAAAGTACAGTAGGGATCAAAACACATACTGCGGCATATAAGAGTTAGAATTAGATATGCAAACTACAGTAGGGTTTCAATGTGTAGTAATAATATACTAGTAGTCCTATATTGTAGTGTAGTAAAGAATATAATGTGAGTGAATAGCAAGCAACCTGACGCTGGGCCTCTCGGTCTTGCCTTTTCTTCTCCTTCTTCTTGGAACCCCTGGGGACATCCTGGATCTCCTCCTCTAGGTCACTGTCAGCGTCGTCGACTGCAGATGCGAAACTAGGGTTGAAAACAAACAAGCAAGCAAGGAAGAAAGATGGATGGAAAGTAGTAACAGTACCATCGCGGTCGCGGCTGGTGGAAGCGTCAGCCGAAGTGGAGAGCGGCCTCCGGCGCATGCGGCGCGCCGCCGGACCGGGAGCGGGACCGCCGCGGAGCACACGTTCGTCCTTGGAAGCCAAGATGGCGAGATTAGGCAGTGAAGGAAGGGGAGAATCATCGAAGACCTAGCTAGGTCGCTACCTGGAGCGGCTGGGGTGGGAGGCGGTGGGCGGCATCGGAGCGGCGGCGCCAGAGGAGGAGGGGGAAGATGGCGAAGACCAGCAGCAAGCACACCACGGCGCCCAACATGCCGCCGCCGCCGTCCATCGATTTGCTTCCCGTCGGCGTCGCGACCGAAGAAATTGGGAATTTGATGATGAAGGGGATCCTTTGCTATTGTTGTTGCTGAAGAAGAAGCAGAAGCAGCACTTATGGGCCGGACCGGGCCTTCCTTCCTTCCTTCATCCACGCGACGCGCGGCCCAACCCAGTCCCGCCTGCCTCCAAAGGCCTAAACAGGGAATTTTGTCCCTTATTCGCCGCCGCTTCACAACTTCAACAACCTACTCAAATTAGACACTCTAAACACCTGTATAACCAGCTCTTCAACTGATTTGACAAGTCATACTAATACTTAGTTCAATAGTTTCTACATCCACGCTCTCCATTCTAACAATGGGACTCATATGTCAATCTCTCACTTCTTTCTCCTCTTCACATTCCTCCCAATCATTGCATAAAGTACTCCATCCTCGAACTCTCTACCAGTCGCTGCTGGCAACACTGGTGGTGAGAAGGGGAGAAGCCATCAACGGCAACGGCAGCATCCAAGTAGAGCCGAAGGACCGCGCACGGAAGGCAGGAGGATGGTGGGGAAGGTGTGCTGCCCCGCAGCCGCACCCTCCCTCACTCGCTATTGAGCTACCCCACCATTGGTGCCCTCCCTCGCAATCTCCGCACAGCGGATGGAGAGACTGCAGGGATAATGGGAGAAGGGAAAGGAGCATCTTAGATGTGGGGCCCATATTTAGCAAAGCAGTTGGCTTAGCCATTGAGGTAGAGAGGCGGTTGGAGTGGGATTTTTTTCTCTAGAATTGCTAAACTCCCTATTAACTATTGAAGATGCTCTCATTAACTATTTTTTCCACTCAATGATATGCATTCTTAATGAAAGTCCCTATTAACTATTTCTTTAATTTTTTTCCTCCTACACACGAGTCTACGTATTTTCTTACTATCTTACCCTTCTCTATGTCGGCTGGCTGAATAAACTACTATGTCCTTTTCACAATGTAGGATGTTTTGGGTTTTGAATAGATTCATGCATAGATCTATATATGTGCTTTATATATGTGGCCAAAATTATATGTAAGTTAGTGAATATAGACGAATGATGAAGAGGCTAAAGCGTCTTTTAATGTTCTATTAAAATGGAAAGGTCTAGCTAGCAAGACATTCCCATTTTCTCATATTATAGAAGTATGGTAACTACAGAAGTTCAGAGTTCAAAATGTAAAGCAGATAAACTGAAGCATGAGACAGACAGTACGAATTGAACACCATAATTAATTAATGTAAGTATTAGTAACATACTACTATATATATATATATATATATACATACATATATGTATATATATATGTATATATATATATATATATATATATATATATATATATATATATATATATAATAGTTGGCTGTTGAGCTGTTCCGACGGCCGGGTTTCTTTTGTGCCATCAGGACCTTTAATTTTCAGTACCCCCGTTTATTGACAACAATCCAGATTCTTAAAGTTGTGGAACTCATTTGTTGGTTGAAAAACTGAACGGCTTCAGTTCAGTGCACACAAACTGAACCTTCTGAATTCTGATGCATGCATCACTGCTGCCGGCAAGCTGCTTACCTGTTGCATAGTAGTATATGTCAAGCCAAATTTTAATTATCATATGTATTCACAGCCACACACTTGTGTGATCAGCAGCCAAAATGATTAATAAGCCGGCATGCTGTTTGTTGTCAACACACTGTTTGCATACATATATAATTGATTTACCCAAATAAATAGGGATAGATATTCGATCAAACTGAAAAATTCGGCCTCAGTTTTCGATCTTTTAAAAATTTCAATCATCTAAAACTGGAGACCAATCGATCTTAAAAAATAATAAAGATCGAGAAAATATGTCTCGGTCTCGATCGATCATTACTGAAATTTCAGAATATCCAAAATAATTAGTCCAAGTCCCTATAAGTTGTAGATAAAAAAATTCATACATATAGAAAACAACTCAAAAACACAAATTGACTCTCTTCACCAGCATGGGTCACACATTGAAGCATGCTAGAGGTCGAAGTTGGGCCAAAATAAAATTTGGTCTTTTCAATACCTAAGACCGAACCAGTGATTGAATTTCTCGGTCTCTGTTTTTCGGTCACGGTCCTGGTCTTGCTCTTTTTTCTAGCCACCACAAATAAATACCATTTCAATTATTTGATAATTTTGTATATAATTTTGTTGGAAGGAGACATCTAGAAAAGGGAATAGAAGAGGATAAAAAAGTTGTCTTTTAACACAATGAACAAAAGCTTGTTTGCTCGCTTTGTATGACGTGTGACACATGTTGCCTTAGCTTTATTTAATTTTACCCGTGCTAATTGGCTACGGATAAAGAAATATTATAATATTAACTAAAATATATAAAATTGTATTTTAATTCATGAAATATGCTACCATCATTTTTCTATGGAAAATATTTACCTCCATTTGATTTTATATGTGTCTATCCATTTAGATTTGATATAGGTGATTTGCGAAATTAATAATAAGAGTAATTGAGGTGGTATGTTTACTGCCGCCACCACCAATGGAGTATTTTAAAGTAGTACATATGTGGTCATATACCTAATAGATTATAATTAGATTTGGAGGTATAATAGATGGTAGGGGTAGAGTTAAAGTCGGACTCTATAACTCGGCTACCCCTTAAATATAGAGGAAGTGTCATAATGCAACCATGTATGGCAACTATAAATACTGTAAACATGCAGGGAGAGAGTGACGGCGAGACTATGCATAGACTCATACCCGCTAGGTACTATATTGATCAATGACTGCAGTGATTAGGAAGATTAGTCGTCGTTCCATAATATATATTGACTAACTTTTATAAAAGATATATAAAATTATTAAGCTACTAGAATAATGCTCTAGTTACTTGTTAATTTGCCATTCTTCTCCTGCTTAGCTTAGGTGTAGAAAGCTTGCGATGAGAGAGCGATTTGTGGCTTTTTGTATTTATGAGCACGGCGGCTAGGGATTTTTATTTCATTATTATCTAATAAAAAGGTTGTGATAAAGATGTGGTCGATATCTAATGACGATATGGATGGCCTTGTTGTTCAAACCACTACAACAAATACACTACATGGCAAGATTGGATTGTGTCGGCAATCACTAGCTAGCGTAAATTAATGCAGGTGAAAGCTCTATATGTGTAGGAGTATTTGTCTATGGTGTCACATAACCATTTACTAGGACCTTGACTTTCCAGTTTCCACGAAAAATGTTGTTTCATTCGTCTCACCTCGATCTCTCTTCCATCAAGCATAGCCTTTTATGTTTCATTACTGGTCCTACATATATAATTAGTTCACACACATGATTCCATGAATAAAGTGATAGCGATATGCATGATGTATCTATTGATCAAGGGACACCATAATAGTATAATATATATTATATTATATATGATGCCAAAGTAGATAAGTTTGTTTTTATAATTATCTTTCTTAACCCTTCTATAATTAACTAAGACTAATTAGCTTGTGCATCTATATGTAATATGCATGCCCAATGGGTTCGGCGGTTCACCAATCTATAATTAAGCCGATGGATAATCGAGGAACGAATAATTAATGTGTGAAAATATGTCATTAAAGGGATAAGGGGTCAATAATCAGGATCAGCTTTAATTTATTTAGCAGTAGATTGTCGTGGTGTTATTTTCTCCTGAAGATGAAGATTAAGTTTTTTACGCAAAACGAGGTGGTATTAACATATAATTGATTGAGTTTTAATTCTTACAAACTTAAAAAATAGATTAATATTATATTTTAGAACAACTTTCATATAGAAAATTTTCACACGAAATACACCATTTAATAGTTTGAAAAGCGTACCACGAAAATCTTAATCTTCAATCCAATTCTTGTGTGATGTACTGATCGAAGACAATGACATGCATGCGCCCTAATCTTTTACTTCTGTACATGTGGTGGGTCACTGTATCATAGATAGCAAATTGATTTAATCTGCAGATTATTAAAGGAGGCTTTTTTGCCACTAGTAAATTATAAACTTTAGTTTTGCAGGATTAACGCCGGCCGCATGCAGTGATGTAGATGAAACATGCATGTACACCACGCATGCACACATGCATATTGTCCCTTGGCCTAGATATAGATAAATCCTTGCATGAACAATATTTGTATGTCCAGATATATTAATTGTACCATGATTAACCGATTAACCATGATGCTTTAAAATTTCTACGAATTAATTACTATATATATAGAGACAGATATTAATTGTTTCTCATGCATAGTGCATCAAATTTGAATTTTTTTTATAATTAAGTAATGTCACAAAAGAAAAAGAGGGAGTATATATATGTTAGGACTTCAAAATTAATTTGCTGCACCGTGAGAAACAATTACTCTTAACTTCTTCTCGTCTGTACGTTTTGACAGTATTAATTCCAAAACAGAAATTCTATCTGGGGGAAGAAAATCGGGTGTGCTAACTTTTGTTCTCTTTTTAAGGGCATAAAGAGCTTTTCTGTTTAGTAGTGTCTGTATTTTTTCAATGGAGGAAAAAGGTAGCACAAATATAAGTTGAATTGAATGCTATCCTCTCCTTATCCACCTTTAGTCGGTAATAAGGACAATCAAATGATCAATACAAACTATGACAATGCGACCGCGAATATTTAGCTATCGACCTTTTGCTGTCCACCAGCAGTCACATCTTCTACATGTGTGTCGGCAACAAAAAAGAAAAGAAAATTAAGAAAACAAAAACGAGCACAAACACAAACATATATTAATGTACAAATTAACATAAGATGCATGAGAGGATGCACAAATAATGTCAGTATATATATATTACTTCTGGATGCGTACTTAGTCCTATATACTTGTATAGTTCATTCCCACTAAGTGTAGTAAATGCTATTTCTCTCTTCTCTCATTAAACCACATTACCTCAATTCTTTTTAGCCTTTGGATGATAGATCTATGGCTTAAATTGTCTCTTCTTTCTTCTCTCATAACACCATGCAATCTCAGTTATTTTTAGGCTAAAAATTCATAAGTATCAATTTATTTTAGTTTTAATAA